CATAAAACAAATAAAACAAGCCCTGAAAATGAATAAAAGAACACATATTGTGAATTGCATTTAATATATTATAGTATTTAAAAAAAAAACATTTGGAATGGGTTTGTAAAAGCTGTATTTATTCATGTTTACACAGTTTTGACCAGCAGGTGTCGCCATATAGCGCTTCGAATCAGTGAATCATTTTGTGAAGCAATTGATTCGAAGCCTCGAACAGAAGCTTCGAATCCTCTGAGAGTCGTTTGATTCGAACCAGTGATTCGGAGCGCGTGTCGACGTGATTTCAGTAAACGAGGCGTCGTTGGGTCATAATTGTTTCGAATAGCTCGCCATTCTCAGTGTTATCTCACAGTTTTGACCAGCAGGCGTCACTGTGGCGCTTCGAATCAGTTTGCGAATCAATTGGTTGTTGATTCAATGTTTCGAAAAGCTTCGCTCCTCCCACACTACTGCGCTACAAAACAGATGTTGCTCGTTTTTATTTTTATTAATTGTTAAAATGACTGATATTATTATATAGGGATTGAGATGTCACTAAATAAAGCATTAAAACACATTTGGTCAGCTGCAGCGTGTCCTTTAGATGGCGCTGAGTTTCCGCGCGTTTCTTCTTCTTCTCCTGTTTCCTGTGCGTGGTATGAAACTTCCGGCGGGTGTTTCATTCTGTAACGCGCAGCGGCGGATCGGTTGGTTCCGGAGGTTCCGCTGGCCCGGGTTCGGTTCCGAGTGTGGCGATGGCGGCGCTTCACCCCGGAGACCCGCAGCTGGTGCCGATGATCGTCAGTCACCTGAAGACGGAGGGTCTGTTCGATCAGCTCCGCAGAGACTGTCTGGCGGACGTGGATACAAAGGCAAAGCACCACACATTTACCTCACAACAACACCGCAGTACCTCGCTTCTAACACGGTGTTCTCTGAAGTAACGTAAATAACCGTGGTGTCCGTCTTCTACATCACAGACAGAACTAATAATGTATTTATTTATAACCGGTTAGTGTGTGTGAGAGCGTCTTGATAAACCGCTTGTTTTTAAAATTCGCGCGCATTTATAATCTAACGGTCAGTTTAGCCGCTCACAGGTTTATGTTAATGAGTTATTTTGATTAGAGTTGTGTCTGAACGCTCACACTGAAGCGAAAAATTAACTGATAGCCTGTAATGTTTGCTATGACATGAAACTGCTGCTTGTGATGTAAACCAGTGAGATAAACTGATCTAAATATCAGTCGTCGCTCTGTGTCTCAGTGAGATGAGAGTGAAATGCTCCAAACATATAATGCAGTGAGTGAGAGCTGAAGAAATAAAGGCTCCTCAGAAGATGTGAGATGTTCTGGAGGCTTGTGAAGATCATTCCTCCGCTGAGGAACAGTGAAAGTAAAGCTTCTGGAAACAAACGCTCCTCAAAAGATCCTGAGGATCAGATTTGAGACTCTAAAACATGATTGATGGAGAATCAAGTAAAGCTGAGCTGCTTCAGTGCAGTAAGTGTTCATCTGGAGATATTACTGCAGTTATTCTGACCTTTACTTGATCAAAATCAGTCCAGATCTGACACGAGAAGCTCCAGCTCCAGTTACTCTGAAAGAGCTCTGACTGGATTAAACCTAAACTCTCAATCAGAGACAGAAGATGGAGTAGATTTCGGTTTAACAGCAAAGTTTTGCAAAATCAGTTAAAGGCCTTAGAAACGTGTCTCAAATATATACAGTAGCTTTATAGGGCTGATGTTGTTTTCTCTCTCTCTCAGCCGGCGTATTTGCACTTACGACAGCGAGTCGATAACTTCGTGTCCAACCATCTGGCGAACCACACCTGGAGCCCACAGCTGAACAAGAACCTGCTGAGAAACAGCATCCGACAGCTGGTCCTGCAGTACGTCTGTCTGTCTGTCTCTCTCTGTCTCACTGTCTGTCTGTCCCACTGCCTGTCTGTCTGTCCCACTGTCTGTCTGTCTGTCTGTCCCACTGTC